TGTGTGTGTGTGTGTGTGTGTGTGTGTGTGTGTGTGTGTGTGTGTGTGAGAGAGAGAGAGAGAGAGAGAGAGAGAGAGAGAGAGAGAGAGAGACCATCAAGTACAAAAAAAAAGCAAGTGCTTCCCGCACAGTTCCACCCACCGTTACAAATTTGCAATCACGGGACTGTCTGTCCCCAGGATTCTAAGCACTACAGGTAATTTACAACGATAACACTAAACTGCATGAATGGCGATCTACCATACATGACCCGCAACAACGGACAGCGATCGACCAACGAAGCCTCGCCATGTATACGACGACGCACCTACCAACACGACTGCAATGGGAAACCAACCAACAACTCGCCCCCGCCATAAATGGACTCCACAATTGCACAACAAACTTCCTAGCTGCTCGGCTGATGACGAATGGCCTTCGCTATTTCCAGCAATGCGTGGCACATGAGTTTGCTGACTTCGTCTGACGCGGCATAGTGCTTCCTTTGCACTTCCACCTCCGCTTCCAACACCTCGCACTGCCAGACCTGGATAGAGCATTGCCGCTTGCTCGCACTCTCCATCGCCGACGCCATCAGCTCCCCGTGTTTCTCCATGCATTCCGGCAGCGCCTCGAAAGTCTGCTGCCTCGTGTTCTTCCTTTTCCCAGAACTGTCGGGGGTGCCCGTCGTCTGCGAAGAGCCTCGCGTCGACCCCTCCTCGTCGTCTTCTCGCCCTGCACCACCTTCCCCGTCCGCCACCGAGTCAGGATCCACGTAAGACGTCGAAGGCGGGCGCACGCCGCCAGACGCACCGGTGTCTGCCACGTTCCTTGGGTGGATGGTGTGGTTCATCCCAGTCGACCCCTCTATCTCGTCATAAACTGCGCGATCCATCGTGAAATTGAAGCCCCTGCTCGCCCTCTCCTTCGACGTCAACTGGAAAAAGTCGGCACCCCCTGATGGTGATTGAAAGTGATGGACTTTCTTGAACTACTGCATTAGATTGTCCCACTTCTTCCCGCATTTCTCCGCATTCCTGTACACGCCGACGTTCTTCAACCTTTGGGTGACGTCTTGCCATTTCCATTCCCGCGGTTTCATTCGTGCGTATGCGTGCCCCATCCCCTGCATATGTGCATCTTGGTCACGTTTAGCCCTTATGAGGGCTATAATGTGTTCCACGGACCAGAAGTTGCACTTCTCCTCCACATCACCGTCGCCTTCGCCACCGCTCCCCTTTCCCTGCCCTTTTTTCGCCCGCGAACGAGCATTGCGGCCGGAAGGCTTGGACTTCCCACCCTTACCAGCCATGTCGGTATGCAACGATGGCGACGCGTGACCACCCCCCCCTTCCCCACACTCTACGTCGTTGTCTTCGTCGTCATCGTCGTCGTCGTCTGCTTCCACCGGTGGATCGTCCGTCTCGTTCTCGTTCTCCCGGTCTCCCACGTGAAGACGCTCCACCCCCCGTGTGATGTATTCCTCTCGCCGCAGCCGGTGATCCCGCCGCAGGTCCCTCCACACCTCCCTCCCGTCGCGACCATCACCAACATCCAAGAAGTCGGTCCCGCCGTCGACTCCGATGCCACGGCCTCGTGCCACTTCCGACGCCGCAGACAGGGGAGATGGCAACTGCATCCACTCCGGCCGACCCTGGGTGCCCTTTGACAGAGAGGCCGCCCGTGGTTGGGCCGTCGACGAGTTCCGGTTCGCTCCCGCCGTCTCACTCGCCAACGCCCTCGTCCTCGCTGATCGATCAACAGCTGTCAATTSCCCGCCTTCGTCGCYRGGGTGGGGTCGCACGAGCACTGTGCGCGATGGAGTTGTAGACCGCCCGGTGGACAAACCGAAYGACAGGTTGACGCGGCCATCTCCTTCGTCTTCSCCAAGGCCAGGCCGAAGGAGTTCAGTGAACGACTGCTCGTACACGCSGCCGCCCRTCCCSCACAGCTCCGTGGCTGACCACTCCTGCGTTGATCCGCTGCCCAACGACACGGTTTGTGGCCGTCTCTCCACCTCCTCCTCCTCGTCCGATGAGCCGGGGAGTGGTTGCAAGTGCGGTGGCAATGCATCACACCCAATCCGCTGGGAGGCCCTGCCAACGGTCGACAAGCTCCCGCCGCACCGCCTCCCTCCGACCTGCTCCCCACCGGACCAGGGGATCGCCTGCCGTGCCTCCATCCTGGCGTCCTTCATCGAAGACCTTGTTTTGCGTCGACGCGGCGGCACGTTCCCAAGGATGCACACGCGGAAGAGAACCACGAGGAGCAGCAACAGGACAACGAGGAGCAGCAGCGGCAGCCTGCGGAACACGTCATCCATAAAACAGTCGACGACGACGGCAGCAAACGGAAGACAACGCGGGCGCCAACATAACAGCGGAGCGCAGTGCTGCAAACGGCCGTCCCGACTTCGCAACAAACCCCCGAGGACGTCTGCGGTCTCCCACGGTCAGTGCGTAATTGGGAGCTGGAGTGCGGCCTTAAAAATTTGTATCTGCCGACCGTTGGGACATTCCCGCGGATTGCCATACGCGACGACGCAAGACGGTACCTTCTGGACGTCGGGGATGCCAGTTGGCCGCAAACGGTAACCGTTGGAGTGAAGCCGAACGTTGCCGACCCAACATGTCCGTGGAGACGCAGCAGGACCACCGATGGACCAGACAGAATTGAAAAATGTCGTCGAAGGAGCTGCCGTCGACGCCCCGATTCTTCCGGAAGCTCGACCTCTGAGGGACCTCGGGAGGTCCCTTGGAGAAATCGCCAAAATGGCTGTGGCCCCGAGGAATCCCCGAGGAAATGTTTTCACATTTTCTTTTCCGCGTCTTCCCCGGGGATGAGTGGAACGACCATTTCCTTGGGGAATTTCGGGCCCCGAGGAGTGTCGAACGAGGCCCTAAGAGTGCCTGAATTTTGTGCGTATTTTGCCTATCATGGCTCTTTGTGCACATTTCTGGTCCTTCTCTCTATCACTCTCTTTCCCCTTCTTCTCCTGTTCTGTGAGCGTCTTTGGCTCTTTTGTCTCCTTCCGCCTTCATTCTTACTTCCCTTGAGGCTCTGCGCACTTCATTGTTGTGTTCCCTTTCTTCTTTTCTTAAGTGGCCACCTCTCTAGCGTCAGCAGGGAAAGTGATTTTCCACAAAAGAAAAAACTTCAAAAAAGAAGATTCAGCAGCGATTGCCTTCGCGAGCATGATCATCAAACCATTCCCAGGCCGAGGTCCCACTAGCAAAAAGGATACGATCGCGATCCTGAATCTGGATGTGTTTCATGCAGAGATGCAGAAAAGCAGTTCAATCTGGATTTCATGCACATCTCCATAATCTCGTCCAGATTCAGGCATTCGATCCGATCCTCTTCGCTAGTGGGACCATGCCCCCAGAGGTGTCAGGCAAAGGCACATATAGCTATAAATTAATGCAGAGATGAGCCTCAGGGCCCACTCACACTAGGACTTTTTGTACAAAGCTCTGGACGTGATTGGGGTCAGATTCATCCAGGTCTGGCAGTAATTGCAGTCAGATGCATTCTGGAAACTGCTAGAGTGGTGATGCTCCCTACCAATAGATGGAGCCCCTCCCCAGGTGCTAGTGGTGTCTGCTCTTATCAGCATCACTAACACTGGCGGGGGGGTTCAAGATTCAGATTCAACAAGTTGGATCACTTTTTTTTTTTTTTTTTTTTTTTACTGGGCACCTCTGCCAAAAAAAAACAAAAAAACAAAAAGAAAGGTGGATCTCCTTTTTGGGGGCAAAGCGTCATAGGGGATATCCGAAAGATTTAAGGCACCTCCGCAGTGGAAAAGTAGGAGCAGGGCAGGCGGGAGTTGAGGTGGCAGCAGCATGGCAGGGAATCAGAGTGTGGACAAGTCTGAGCAATTGCTGAGGCGGGCTTCATTGGACAACAAATCTACTCAGAGTCTAGGCTACCAGAGTGGCCTGGGACCGCTTGCCCGGCCGGGCCAAAAAAAAAATGAAGGGTCTCTCTCTGTTTTGTGGGACCCACCCAAAAATGATGGAGAGATTTGACGGGAGGCGACCGGTAATGCGCGAGCGGCGGCACGCTGCGCCTGCGAGTGTGCCGAGGTGACGAAGCAGGTCACCGACCTAACCAGTGCCACCAGTGCCATCTGGCGGATATGGTGAAGGGGAAGCGTTCATGTCCATGGATGGACACCGAGTAGAATTCTTCTACGGAGAGGGAACTCGTACGGGCCGGGGTAATGTCCTCTGTCTGTCCCCCCCCGTCCTCCCCCCACCCCCACCCCACCCCACCCCACACACACACAATCAGTTTTATGTCTGTTTGTTTTCCTCTTGCTGTATGTTCTTCCACTATTTTTTTCTTATATTCTTCCTCTACTTTTTTCTGAGTATTTTTGCTTACCCAACTGAGCACCCTTAAGTAGTGCCAAACAATGGGTGGTTCCTCGTTTGGAGTGCCTACTGCACTCTTATGGGGGCCGCTCAGTTCGGGATGTCTGTGTTGCCTGTAGGTGATGACGGATGCTCGTCGGAGCGACTCCCTGGCTCAGTGGGTGGTGGGAACCAGCAGTCTGCGGGGTTCAATCGTGAGGTGAATAGGTCATGCGATGCTTTGCTCCGTGTTGGATGTGTGGACTGCCTAGTCTGCACTCCACTGCCACTTTGCTGCCTGTCCCGCTTGCTTCGCATGTGGTTCTCTGCAAGTTGTTGTGTTCGCTGTTTGGTGTGGCCGTGTTGTTGGTGTTACCTTGCGCTCGCTGCTCCGCTGCCTTGCTGCCCATCCGCTGGCCGTGCCTTCCGTGTTTGCCGCTTGTGTGCCCTGTAGGTTGGTTGCCTTGTTGCTGGTGCCCTGTGCTCCGCTCCATGGTTGCCGAGCTGCTGGTCTGCTCGCCCTGTTGTCCCTTCCAGTTTGGTTGCCTTGCTTGTGTAGCCTTGTGCTTCACTGCACGACATGTCCTGTGTGGCATGTCGTTCCTTGCAGTCGTTTTTGGCGTTGTGCAGCTGTGTTGCCTCTATTGTGTTGCCTGGTGCTCCACAGGGTTGCTGCCCGCTGCTATGTTCCGCCTGGGGACAGTCTGCCTTCAACATGGGTCAGAGGGTTCATGACCCAAACCATCAAATACAGATTGTCGAGGGTTCAGCCTCCTGATGAGTCGCTGCAAATCCGACAAAACAATCTTTCAGTATCAATTTTATTTTTTCAGTCTTTGCATTTTTTGGACTTGTATTTTTTTTTCTTGGTGGTTCATTTGTTTGTGTGTTGTAGTGCCCTGTTGCTTCGTGGCTTGTTGGGGTTCTTCTGGTTTCTCTGCCCTGTCCACCCAGTTGTTGCCTAGTGCTCGTTGTCTGCCCACCCACCTCCCCTATACCCTCCAACCTTTGTTCCTTGCTGTTGCTGTTGTTTGTCTGTTCTCTCGCCTCACCCTTCCTCTCTCAACCGTCAATCTCGGTGTCTACCTTGATGTGTCATTGAAGTCGGAAGTCCGTTTGTACATTGGCATAAAGAAGACACACAACCACACACACGTATACACAGATACATACACACTCACACAACAACACACATGTAATGACCCGCCAAAACACAGACTGAGAACACTGCTGATTTCTGGGATTTGTCGCTAGAATGAATGCCTTGCTGAGATTCTCGCATTCTGCTGTGATTTCTAAGTCTGTGTGTGCGTGCGTGCCTGCTGGTTGGCGTGCCTGTCTGAGTGCTTGTCGGCTGAGTGTGTGTGTGACCCGCAAGGGTACTTGTTGGTTGAAAGGCCCCCCAGGGCCGGTACTTACTTGTGGCCGTGACTTTGAGGGTTGCAGCGGGGAAAACACTAAGTAGCGGGGGTAGGCCCACGACACTTAGAGCAGCGGGAAAAACACTCAAGTAGCAAGTAGGCCGGTACCACTCGGGTAGTGGTAGAAGTGTCGGGTACTGGAGGCCGAGCAGAAGAAAACAAAAGTTGACATTTTTAGAGACCCAGTGGCAGTAGGTTAGAGATAGGTCGGTACCAGTCCAAGTACCTTGAGTTTAGGGCCTGTCCGGACAATAGCAGAACCTCCAATGTTGTTTCTCTCCGAAAGGGCGGAGGTACCGGTTGCTGGGAGGCCGCTCGACTTAGGAAGTCACTGCCCAAAAGGCCAGTAGGCCGCTATATCTTCAGGAGGACCAAGCAGTTCCTCTTCATTTGCAGTATGCAAGGATTGGCGACATGCTGCTGGAGCCAAGCGCTGGACTTGGGAAACGTTGCCTGGAGGAGAAGAGCACCTGGGCGCTCAGCCTAGCTATGGCGAGCAGCCTAGCCTGAGGAGGAGGAAGAAGGGGGAGAAGGAGGAGAGTGGCGAGGTATCTACCTGGCTATGGCGGACACCATCTTCATCACCTTGTTGGGCACTGCATCTGGAAGACCCCAGTTGGGTTAATGCCACACCAAGGAAGCTCGAGGCAGAGTCGGGCATGGCAGCTTGGTGAGCAGCGGCATAGCTGCTTTGCGTTGTCCTTTGGACAGGAGTGCAGCGTCATAGCTGCTTTGGGTTGTCGTTTAGACCGGAGGGCAGGGCCCTTAGTAGTCCACCATAGCCTCGGCATGTGAGAGGAGGAAGAAGGGGGGGAAGCCATGGCTATGGTGGACCTGTTGTCGTGTTAACAGTAAGAGGGAACTTCGGATATTGATTCTGGTTCATCCACTCATTGTTATTATTATTATTGGAAGAAGAATAAGATTGGCGAAGTGAAGGAGGAGGAGGAAGGTGGAGAGAGAAGGGGGATTTGTCATTGGTTTTGCTGGTGTACATCTTCTTCTTCTTCTTCTTCTTCTTCTTCTTCTTCTCTTCTTTGGTCTCTATCTCTTTGCAAGCGTTTTAGTTTCTTTCGCAATTGGGTGGCATTGTCTTTCATTGTGAATTTGCACTTTGGGAATGACTAGGATCGTAACAATTGGTATCAGAGCGGACTTACTTGCTGGCAAGAGGTGTTAGTCACCCTAACCCTAATCCCGAAGTAGATTAGGGCTAACCTAATCTCGGATTAGGGTGGGAGGCTAGGGATAAGAGGGGCAGTGAGCAATGTGGATGCTGCCCCCACCTGGTTAGGTCATGTAGGGTCGACATCAGACCAGACCAGGTTGCTTGTGTGATTGAATGGAGTGGCGAGACACAAAGGAGGTTGATTGGAGTAGGCGAGAGGGAGTAGAGAGTGAGAGGTACTCGCACCTGGAATCTGCACTTCAAGAGGACATTGAGTGACTTTTGGGCTTTCCCTCAAGAGGGAGACTTGATCGGAGGTTGCCATATCTGCATCGAAGAGCTGCAAGTTGCTACTTTGGTCTTCAACATCGACGGAGGATCTGACGTTGTAACATGGGTGTAGGGAGGCCATCTTAGTCACGCTAGGACACTTCGTGTAGTGGTAGTTAGGGGTCAGGAGGACCTATGAGAGAGGGGGTGAGTCGTTATCCAT